GTTGCCACTCGTCTAAATTATAAGGTGGGACAAGTCGCCTAAAACGGGTCTGCACAAAGATGGAGGTTTGGTTAGAACTGAGGAAGGGCATACGCGCACCTCACAATCATTCGTTTAAACACGGTTGCATACTTAAAAATGGGGGTTTAAATCAAACTAATCAATAACCAAGGTTAAAACCTAAAAAATTTTTTATTTTTTTATTTTTAAAAAAGGATAAACCAAATTAAAATATTTTTTTAATTTTGGGATTAAAATGGACCAAATCAAAGATATGCATGCACAATAACATGAACAAGAAGTTAAGGGATTAACTTGATTAAATTCGAAAGATGAAGGACTGATTTGATTAAAATAAAATGGAGGACTGATTTGAAAAGGTTTGAAACTTTTAGACTAAAGTGCTTAAACTGAAAGTTGTGTGTGAAGTTGAAATAAAAGAGAGAACTTTTGATTTTTTTTTTTTAAGATTAAGGCAAATAGAAGATTTAAAATTAATTAATTAAGATAATTAATCTAATTAAATAATTAGTTTAATATTAATTAAAATTAATCAAAATTAATTAATCATATTTATTAATCAAAATCTTAAGTGGTCGTCAACACTACCATATTAAGCCAGCTCTCCTCCATATTGAGCCTGTAAAGAGTGCTTTTACCAAAGTTGATTTTTAGTCCAGACATAATCTCAAACTATCTAAAAAGAAACTTTATAGCCCACACAGAACTCACTGACGCTTCACAAATGAGAGTAGTATCATCAACAAACTAAAGGTGGGAGACACAGGTGTTCTCATCAACAACCATTCCATTAAAGAACAGTATCATGAATGATTAAAATTTTGTATAAATATAATATATAAATCTTGTATGTAAGTGGATCTTAACTCATTTTTATTACTTCATTTATCCCATTATAAATGTTATATTTTAAACATTTTTTCTAAATTAAAGATTTGAAAATCATTTATGTATTTATTTATATTACCCTTAAAAAATATTAAAAGATAAAATAAAATTTTTTATGATATGATAATTAATTAAAATAGATAAATAATGATAACTATAAGATTAAAATAAGAAAAAAAATATTTATATAGCTTAAAAATAAAAAATGATAATTAATTTAAAATAAACTCAAAATTAAAAATAATAATTATTTTAAAACAAAAAGAATAATGTTTAAATTTGTATTATGTACACTGACTTTATATTGCAAATCAACAAAATGCATTTAATTTGTACTACTAAAAAATGAGTGAAATTTTAGCTAGTTATATGTTCTCTTTTTCATGGATATTTACTAGTATTAAAAAATACTCTAATAATTAAATTTAGTTAGTGGGTATAGATAAGGAATGAAAAAAAAAAGAAAAGAATTTGGTAGGTAAGCGCCAGCGCTCAGAAGAATCGGCTCGTTGGCTGCTCAGCTTGATAAAACGCTAATTACGCGGAGCGTGCTTATTGGCTGAGCATTGTCTCAGATTCGGAGCTTCTAATTGGCTTCTGCTTTCTCTTTAACCCGTATTAAACACGTGTTCTGTCCCACAATAATAATTGATTTTCAACCTTCGATTTTTCACATGTATAAGTCAGAGGTACATTCATTATCCTTACTTTTTTTTCTTTTTTCTTTTTTTCATATTAACCACTTCCTGTGCCTTGAAGAGATGTCTCCGATTGGTTAACAATTTGATAGTTTAAATTAAAAATTTTAAATTTAAATATTAAAATAAGTAAAGAGATTAAGAAAAAATTTGTTTGTTATTGTATAAATGTACCAAAAAAATTACTTTCTTAATCTCAAAATAATTTTTGTTTTTTTATTTTGAGAGTTTGTCTAAAATTAATGATTATTTTTTTACTTTTTAAGTAAATAAATATTTTTT